TAGTCGTAAAGAGAGGGACAAAAAAGTTGCTTCAAATATTTCCAGATTAGTGCTAAAGAACAAGGAACCCCTAGTTGGTAGAAGATTACTAGGAGAATGTTGTCGCTCTAGTTTAAAAAAAAAAAAAGAAAAAAAACGGAAATGAAAAAGAAATTCAGAAACAAATGATCCAACATACAAAAAAAGATCCCTAATCGAAGGAAAGCGGATCCACAGAATTACCGAGAGGGGTGAGATCTTTTTTCTTGCTGTCGATGTGGTATTGAGCGTGCCTGACAAGAAATATGTTCCTAACAGCTACTGGTTTTTTCTTTTTGATCAAAGTTTTCCGTTCTTCCTCAGATTTGGCAGCTTTTAGGTGTTCATAATGAACCATCCCTACTGGGTCACGGCTAAAAATAAAACGACTGTAACAGCTGATTCCTGTAGAAATTTGGTCTTAAAATATAAAAAGTATAGGTTTGACTTAGAGACGAAATTAATGCAGAGCTTACTTGTCCCAATTGTTATCCCACTTATTCCTCGGGAAGCCGTTATAAGGTTTTTCAACATCTGGCAAATCCTCTGCCGTCAAAAATGAATCTTTTTGTGAATACTCAGAATCCACTGTTGCTGCTGAAGCTGTTAAAATTCCTCGCCGCTTGTTACCCAAAGCACTTCCTGTCAATATAGCAGCTGCTACGGGAATTCCAATCTTTGCGAAGCGCGAAAAAATCGTCATCTTCCGTTTACAGTTGTGACGAACTGCCAGAAATCTAAAAAATAAGTTATGATTCAGAGAAAAACCAAAACTGAAATAAATTACTACTACGAAGGGTGTTACAAACAGCCCAAGTCACAAACATGATAAAAACTGGAACATGGCTAATAGAAGACCTCTTTATTTTCCAGACCACCCCCACAATCTCGCCAACAAAAAATGCATGACTACTGAAACACTTCCAACTTTCCGGAAATGAAACTTAATGCGCACGTAATCTCCAGACGGCTTTCACCTTTCAAGGTCACTGTTCTGGAAAGACCCTAGAGTCATTAAAACTCTTTAGGAACGAGCAACTGAAGAGCAGCTAACTATCCTGGTCTGATTGGATGTCATCGGTCGCTTTTTTGAACAACATTTTACTTCATTAGGCTAATCCGCGTTCCCTGTAGAAGCCTGCCGCAGTTCTAAGAAAACCTTCGTCATATTCGAAACATTTATTTCGGAATTAACTAATATATGCTCATTAGAAAACTTTAGGAACAACCTATCCGACTTCATTACTTTGAAAGGAAAGCAAAGGAAAGCAAGAGTCTATTTTTCGAGTTATTTATATTTCTTTGTGCTTACTTCTGTTCTCGTAGAAACGTAGGAAGGAGTTTGTGGCACTACACCGCATAATGTAAATAATACGGGAAATTCCTGCAGTTAAAGATTCCTAACAATATAAACTGGTTTTGAAATGAACGTCCTGGACGGGCAAGCGATTTTCCAAAAATACAAAAAACATTTAATTAAACTAAAACATTAAGCAGCTTGTTGTAAGAACTTTCCAATAAGCATTAAGTTAATTCTAAAAAAAACGCCCCGAACGGACGAAGAAAGTTCCGGAAATGCAGCAGTTTTTGGCAAGAAACACGGACTAGCTCAAAAAATACGTATAACTCACTAGAGTTATAGGCTACCCTAAGTCAAACTGACACATTTCAACTGCCCACGTTCAGAGCATTCTTCTGATTATAGAAGCAGATAAAAATAGGGGTCCTGAATACGTGAGAACAGTCCTACAACCATGAGTAATTACTAGCTTTGCGTTTGAGAGGTTGCAATCGTTCCATTGTGCACGTACTTCTTTTTGGCGAGATTTCCAGCACTACTCTGGAAATGAAAGCCTTGTATAAAAATTTGCCAATTCTTTAAATTTAACATCAAAAGTTTATCTTTTGATGAGTAGCGAACACGAGGAAAAAAACGAAAAAAATCACCAACAATTTATCTCGTACAATATACATAAACCCAGAATAGCGGGAATGTTATCTATTTGAAACTGCTTTAAAAACATGTAACATTTAAAGCTTTGCAGAAGATCTGCCTTGTCGACAACATTTCAGCAGCTACTTCCATAACTATTCAAGCACCATCTGGGACCCTAACTCTGAAACTGTACCGCCATACTGGGACTAGTTAAGTTTGAAAGCATACCTCAACGACTAAGTATGAATATTCTGACGAGTACTACGTTTGTAAAACCAAAAAAACTCTTGGATTTTAGAATGATTCATTTCCAGCTTATCGCTGAAAACCCCGCCAACATCAAAGCCGTGTCTGCTACAAAGAATCCAATCTCTCAAACCTAAAACTTAGGATATGATTCAATTACATTTATCATGGATGCAGCAAGTGTGCTTTACAGAATCACTAGAATGCTCTAAAAACAAGCAGCTGAACTGTGCTAGTCCAATTAAGAACCATTGGCCGTTTTCCTTTTTCTTTTTTTTTTTTTTTTTTCAGCTTTTGAACGAGTATAGGCTGGTTTTGAAATTAAAACCTTGAAAAAACAAAAAAAAACCTTCAGGATCTGCAGCAGACTCTTGCAAAAAACATCTACCTGAACAAGCAAACAACACGTAACTTAAGAAAAAAAGACTAATGACTCCTAGTTGGATAACACTGTCTAGTCGTTTGTTCTCAGGTCGTTCTAATCACTATAAGTCCTCCCTAGAAAAAACCTGATAAAAACATGAAATTACGCGATCATGTCCACACGAAAATTCACATCCGAAAAGCTGAAACCTTCCCAGCAGACACCCATTTCGAGTTAAGGTGATTTTCACCGATAAGCTGTGAAAGAAATGCCTCATGCAGAATTCCAAGCTGGAACTGAGCCAATTGGACCACTTTGCGACGTATCGTTCGCCAACGGTCATTACCATTTGGATACTGAGAGCTTTGTTAGGAAGCAAGGTGCACATAGGCTTCAGCAATTTCGTTTTTTCGTTTGCACCATTAAGCGATTTGATTAGTGGGTCAAAAATATCATTATCTTAGTATAATTCATGAAGATCGTAAGCTTATTTTTTTATCCAAAAAATGCGCTGGGTACAAGGAGTGTTGATCACACGAAATGTTGTTTGCAGAGACAGCTGCTACCTGGTCAAGTTCGCTGAGAAAATTAGATGCTGTAGGATAATTGAATTCTGTTTACAGCTTTTAGTTATATGAGATCTGTTTTGCAGAGCTTTCACTGCCTCTATAATTATTTTTATATGACCAAAATTTGGCTTGTATTTCGTAGAACGATTAATAGTGAATTGTCGTTGCTACAGCCAAGTGTCAAAAGCGATGAAACGCAAAACGCAGGTGAAAAACTAAGAAAATATGTAATCTGCAAAAGTATGTTCATATGGTCTGCTACTATACAGCAATGAAAACTCCTCAATAAGGAGAAACCTGCATGAAGAGGACCCAGTGGAACGGCTTAGAAGTTAAGTCACAAGAAAAAAAGATCCTTAGGCTTTAGAAGACTTTTTTGAAATGAAATGTCTAAATTCCAAGGTAATATTTCAAACCAAAGTAATCGTCTGACAGTTCATCGTACAGTCTTAGACTTCAATTTGAAGTACTTATAGATTTATTTTGGTCAACACCGGGTTCTGAGGTCTTTCTGTCACCAGTAAAAGAAATTGCTGTTCAAGTAGGATAATAAAGTATTAAGAATTGGCTTAAAGACTTCAGTTGACTACAACAGCTGTTGAAACTCTAAGGGATACATTTTATGGCGTCCGGAATCATAAAAATGGGCGTAATACTAAGTTTCAAACCCGCTGAGCTTTTTTCTTTTTTCACTGAGTGCCTGCGGCGTAGTATTCTACTGTCCACCTAGAGAAGGTGGGAATAAGTTGGGCTTACTAGGCTAGATGTAAAATAGACCAAGTTATCTCATTGTCAGATCAGCAGCGTTTTCTTGAGTACAGAAGAAACTCAAATTTTTGTCCGGCTTAGTAACTCTTTCAATGTACATTAAAAATGCCCTCACCAATCGATACCTTAAAATAATTTTTATTTATAGCAATAATTTAGAATTCAGGTATTCCACAGCTTCTGAGGTATTCCACAACCTCGAAACGGCGGACCACTTTGCGCTGTTTCGCATAGTTAGACGTTGAACTGCTTGTAGATCGCCTGAGATGGCGCTACATCTCAGGATTCAGGTAACTTTTTTTATCTGCGAAAGATCCGGTTTCGTTGTCCTCCAATCGAGTAATTCTGATAAAACGCGTTTCGCCTAAAGGCAATCTTTAGACCTCTTGCCTTTGTTTGAAAACTTTGTAGAACTAAAGGCACTTTGTAGCCACACCTCACTAATGTTCAAGACAGCGTGCCTACTGAGTCAGCCGATTTTTGATTATACAATAAAGTCTTATGTTTTACTTTCAGTTTTAAACAGTCAGTGTTTTGTAATTCTTTACAAAAAAGGAAAACTCATTTTCTACAAAGAAAATTTAACTTAAAGAAAGTGCTAGAAGAAAATGTTTAGAGTTTTAGGCCTGTTAAGCAGAAAAGTTTTGAAGCTTTTCAAGAACATTTTAGCACATTCAATACGTACTTTAATTCTATTTAAAAAATCACATAGATGAAGTAAAAACAATGGTCGAAGCAAACATAGAAAAAAGACGTGTCTTCAAAACTTTTTAAAGAGACATATTTCGTGTAAAATTTTTTCCTCAGCGATATATCAAATTTTGAAGATGGCGATTCTTTGGTATCGGAAGTTGGAAACCAAGAAGGAGCCTGTTGTTTTTACACTAATTCTATGAATTTTACGTTACGAAACCGTCCTGGGCCGTTTCTGAAAGCCGTAGGCAGCTGCTATTAAAATTTGGTAGGCTACAAACGTCGGCAATCCGTTACAAAGGTTGTATTTTACTTCAAAATATTAACAAATTTATATATATATATATATATATATATATATAT